TCCTGTACTTGTCCCCTGCGCTCGAGTAGGCTTTGTCCACTTGGGCCTCCTGGTCGGGGTGCTCTGCCAAGTGCTTGGCCTTCTCGGCCTCGAAGGCTGCCTCGCCCTCCTTGCGCGTTGTCTCGCGGCGCCTGCGGCGGAGGTTATGGGTGCGCTTGTTGGCGCCTGCGGCGTAGATCTCGCGCCCGTGGATGCGCGCCCCATCTCGCCCCAGAGCTTGAACCGCAGCGCGGCGGCGTCGACGACGACCGCGCTCGCGCCTGCCATCTGCCGGGGCGAAGGTCTCGGCGTGCAAGACGAAGAGGTTGAGGCCCTCGGAGCCGCCCCTCGCCACCAGGTGCGCGAGCCTAGTAGCAATAGTACTTGCTAGTAGTGATAGTGGGAGTTACGAGTAGTAGTAGTTACGAGTAGGAATAGTCGCTACGATTCGAACTAATGTTAATAGTTAGTACGAGTAGTAGTAGCAGTAGTAGTAGTAGTAGGTAGGGCCGGCTCGTAGTAGCAGTTACGAGTAGTAGTACTAGTAGTTGTAGTAGTAGTAGTAGTAGTAGTAGTGGTAGTAGTAGTAGTAGAAGTAGAAGTAGAAGTAGAAGTAGAAGTAGAAGTAGAAGTAGTAGTAGTAGTAGTAGTAGTAGTAGTAGTAGTCGTAGTAGTAGTAGTAGTAGTAGTAGTAGTAGTAGTTACTACTACTAGAAATACGTACTAAAAATCGTAGATGCCAGTCTTCGTAGTGACTGCCTGTTTCGTAGTAGTAGCTACTCGTGCTAGTAGTGGTCGTAGGAGTTACTACTGCAAGTAGCTAGTATTAACAGTAGTAGTAGCAGTAGTAAAAAAAGACTTGTTACTAATAGTAGCTGATACTGATTGTAGTCAACCCAACAGCAGTTACAAGTAGTAGTAGTAGTAGTCGTCACTAGTAGTGGCCACTACTACTACTACTACTACTACTACTACTACTACTACGAATAACTACTACTACTACTACTACTACTACTACTACTACTACTACTACTACTACGACTAGTACAACCTGTCGGCCGCGGCCCGGGTCAGCTTGGCCCCGTCCTTGCTGAGCGTCTGGCCCCTCTGGTCGGAGAGGCGCTGGCCCTTGCGCCCGCTCGCGTTCAGTCTTGGGGTGGCGAGGTCGTCCACCCACTTCGTGTCCTTCGTGCGCGTCTGGGTGACCTGGGGGGTATTCAGGCGCTCGGTCACCCTCTTGAGGCTCTCGCCATTATAACTCTTGCGACCGACCTTCTGCAGGAGGAGCTGCTCGTCCTGCTCGAAGGCCAGCTCGTAGCGCAGCCGCGCATGGGCGATCTTCTTCCGGACCTGCGACCGCGCTCGCGCCCCCGCTTGAACCGGCGCCCCACGCGGCGCACGGCGCCCATCGAGCGGGCGGTAGGCGGCGACCATGCCGGCCAGGTTGGGGGACAGCCCGGAGCGGACGCGCGGTTCGGGCGGTTGCTGCGCTTCGGGCGGACATGCCGGCAGGCTCGAAGGCCGTTCCTGCCGAGCCCCCCCGTGGCAGCCTTCTTCTCGAGAGCAGCTCGAAGGCCGTGCCACCGGGCAACCGTCTCGTGGTTCCAGCGCCACTTGTTCTGCTGCTTGGCCTTCGCGGCGCCGGGCAGGCAAACTTGCCCAGGCCGCGCTCGTCCGCGCGCTTGCTCCAGTCAAGGGTCTGGGGCAAGGGGATGTGGAGCTTGGACTGCGCCGGTGGGTCTCGTCGCAGCGCGGGCGCAGCTCGGGGCTCGCGCGCCCCCTTGCACTCCGCCAGCTTGCCCCGGGGTCTGCCGCCCTTGCCGAGGCCTCGCTTCGCGCCTCAGCCGAGATCGCCCGGGGCGAGGGCCTGGCCCTCGGCGCTCGCAAATTCTCGGCGCCCAGCCGCGGCATCGGCCGCGACTCGCTCCTGAGCAGGGGGGGGGGGGGGGGCGCTAGTGGAAACACAGTCGACCCGTATAATATGGGCGCGCGGCAAAGGTGCAAGGCCCTTGCAAGGCCCAGAGATGGGCCGAAGGAGCAAGGGTGCAAGGGGAACGAACCTTGAGAAGATGGCTCATCCTCACTGCGCGGGTTGACTGCAGTAGCAGCAGTAGGAGTACCAGCGCTAGAAGGAAGGGGGGGAGAAGAAGGGTGGGAGAAGGAAGAGATGGCTCCAGGATCGATGTTCAATGTTTTGTTTGATTCGGGGCCTACGTTTCTCAAAGATAAAAAAACTGATTCTCGTTTCGTTTTCGATCTCGCACGCAGGGGGCCCATGGCCTGGGGGGGGGGGGGGGGGGGCGCGCGGGTCGCTTTGCAACCAGAAGCACACTTTACAACCAGATGGGTCACATTACAACCAGCTTACAAAATCCGAGAAGGGCACTTCACAACCAGGAAGGGCACTTTACAACCAGGCAAGCGGAAACACATATTGAATGCACGCGGGCCTTTTCCTGGAATCTCCGTGGGCAAGCGCAAGGGCGGCTTTGGGCTCTTTGAGGCATGTTGGCTGTAAGTTGCCCAACGCGCACGAAGAAGCACTGCGCGCGCGTTGGTGGTGCGACGACCCGGTGCGCTATGGTATGTTGCGTGCTGGCGGGCGGATTATGGTTCTGACCTGCTCTCCAAGCTCTGTCGGTCAGTTCTGCCATTGCTTGCTCTGTCTTTTTTTTTCTGACGGACGAAGGCTACTCGCGCAGGACATACGAATAAACCATGATCCTGTCCAAGACTGGAGCTGCGTGGCAGTGGGAAGCTGCAGCGGGATGGGTACCTCCAACTATGCAGAGCACCTGACCCCACTAATCCAGGAAGCACCCTAAACGTGCTTCCTGGAATGTGTTCGATGCAAGCGACGTTGCAAAAGCATAACGACACTCGCGCAATGCAAATGATACCGCATGCAACTACAATGCATAGACCCCAAGCGGTCACACTCGCATGCTTCAAGTTTAAATGAGAGCACGCAGGGTGACAGCGAAGGCCTTTTACCACACGTCTCACGTGCTAGCGTTGCAAATGGCGCACATCATCACACACACACACACCACTACACCACCACCAGCAACGTCAGCCTACATTGCACCCAACATCGCAAACATTCTCGACATCCACCTCATCATTCTCATCACCGTCCTGCCCGTCGGCATCCTCGTCATCACCCTCCCTACCATCCCTATCTCATCTTGCCACGGCGGCGGCTGGCTGCGACGACGGCAACGATGACCACGATGACGACGACTACGGATGACGACGAAAGGCTACCGACGACGTTTGGCGACCGACGTCGAGAGCTGAGTCCGACGGTGATGGCCTGAGACAGGCAGACCGATGGCGAAGACGAACAACGGCGATCGACGGCACCCGACGACGACCGACAGCTACTGCCAGTGCGACGACGGCGTCGACGGAGGCGCCGAGGACGACGTCGACTCTGTGCCGACGACGGCGACTCGACGGTCGACGAGTCGACGAGTCGCGGCGACACGGCGTCGACGGCGGCGGCCACGGCGACGGCGACGACAGCGGCGACGCCAGCGCTGCACGCCGCGCGGCAGCGTTTTCGCGGGGCCGCTGCGCGCCACCACGCGCAGCCCAGTCCTGGCGGCGCCGCGCGCAGGCACCCGGGGACCGGGGACGGCGGGCAAGAGGTCAGCAAGACAGAGCGAGGGAGGGGACGGGCGGAGGAAGGATACGAATGCGAGTGAGGGGAGGTGAGATAGATGATGTAGTGGAGAGGTGGAAAGGAGGGGGCATGGGGAATGCGATGAGAGAGGAGATCGAGCGGGGTGAGGGAGGGGGTTGGGATGGGTATAAGGTAAGAGGGGTAAGATGTAACAGGTGAAGGGTGATGGATGGCGAGGCGAGGGGTACTCGTTGAGTCGGAGACGAAGGCGTGAAGATACAGCAGAAGATATGGTAGGATAGACGCAGGACAAGGGACGTGAGGCACGTTTCCGAGCGAAGAGCGTGCGCACCCCAGCGCAGGACCGTGCGGCAGCACAGATGTGAGTAATGCGAGTGGCCACCTCGTCTCCTCGATTCGTCTCCTCTCCTCCTCCTCATCGCCATCCTCGCATCACCGTTCGCATCGTCAAACCCAACGGTGATACTCACATGTACGACATGAGCCGGCAGTCGCACTGCCATGCCAATGTTGCGCCCCGCATAGACTACGACAGGCGCGAGCCGAGACCATCTGGTCACTGGTCGCGGAGGCAGGGGGCAGTGAGAGGGAACGACGGCGGCGGTGAAGTTGTGCCGTCCAACGCGGGGTAGCCGCGCCCTCAATCACCAGCCAACCATGCGGACACAGGCTACACAGGAACCAGCGCACTGCCCAACACCAGATCGCATGCGAGCCAAGCTGACCAGATACAGAATTACTGCACTAATTCAACTCCTCAACTCAGCAAGTGCTGGCACGAGCACTTCTTCTTCCTCTGACCCTGCTGAGGCTGAGCCTGAGCCCCGCCCGTCACGCCCGTCTGGCCTGTCTCCGCGCCAGCCTCGATAGCGGCGAGCTTGGCCATCTGCACCGACGCCGCGGTGGGCCCGAAGAGCGCGGAAACGTCGGCCGGCGGCTGGTTCGCGCACCGAGACTTCCTCTGCTTCGGCATGCACTCGCCAGGCAGCACCGCGCGCACCAGCTCGACTGGCCCTGCCTCACACGCATCAGGCGCACGCGGAGCTCCTGTCGAATCTGCCGACTGTGCCGAGAGGTACGTCACCTGCGCACGCGCGGTGGGACGGATGCGCGTCGGCGAGGGGGTAGTGGCACCAAGTGCCACGTACTCACCCCGCCCACAGGCATATGTCCCATCGCGAGTCTCGAGCGTATAAGCCTCCGCATCATAAGCATCATCGTCCTCACTCCCTTATATCCCACATCGTCCTGCCCCCATCGCAGTCGCATCCACCCTCCTCCACCTCCACCATCCACCACCTTCATATCGTCCCTCCCACATCTCATCCATCATGATCATTGTCAGGAGTGAGGCGAGGGTGAGAAGGGTCACCTGGATATTGATAGCCGTCGTCGCGTCCGCATTCTTCACCAGGTAGCCTGGCAGATCAAGCCGCACGATGCGCTTCTGACCAATCAGGTTGGCCTCCTTCGCGTCGGTAGCCACTCGCACCATCCACGCTGGCACGGGGCACTTGGAGGTGGCCGCATCTGACTTGTCGGGGACCACGTAGATCCCCATGAGAAGCGAGTCCCTGGGGTCCGTGGCCGGTACCTTGATCGCACACAGCAAGTGCGAGCGGCTCCCGCGCGAGAGACTGACCTCACCAGTGAAGACGAGCTCCTTCAAGTCGTCCAGGCTGCTAGCGACGACCTTATGCTGGGGCGGTTTCGGCCTACTACCACCAGCCGCAGCGTCATCTGCTGGAACCCACTCGATTGCGATGCGGTCCAGCTGCTCGGAGTTCGGCAGGCCATATGCAATGCGATCCAGCATGGGCCCAATAAAATTCATAAACATGCGAAGCCAGTACGCTGTAGGAAATTCTCCCGTCGGCATCTCATACGCGCACTCGGGAGGGGGCTTCGAGCCGTCGCCGCACAACTCACCCGCCAGGTTGATGTGCGAGCCGGCTGCCAGGGCGATCGCCTCCGAGTTCTTGAACCTGCGGAGGCGCGGGGATGGATGGGGAGGGGGTCAGGGAGTTGGCAGGGGTTGGTGATGTTGTGAAGAAATGCTGGATTCAGATTTGCAGGAGACACGTGCAAAGGAAATGCACGGGCGGGCAAGGGGAGAGCGAGGAGGAGGTTGCAAAGGAGGAGGAAGTGCTGGGAGCTCGGGGGCGTGGTAGAGGGGGGGGGGAGCACGAAGAGGAGGGGGGAGAAGAGGAGGAGGAGGAGGAGGAAGAAGAGGAGAGGAGGCAGAGACGGAGGAGGAAGAGACGGAGGGGAGGAGGAGGAGGAGGAGGAAGAGGCGGAGAAGGAGGAGAAGAGGAGGCGCAGCAGCAGAAGCAGCAATCCTCAGTGTCATCCTCCTCTCCCCTCCAGTCCGCATCACCATCCTCATCCTCGTCCTCCCCCTCCTCCTCCGCCACTGCCTCATCCGCGTCCTCCTCATCTCATCCTCGCATCCTACCTCATCATCCACGTCCTCCTCCTCATCCTCACCACGTCCATCATTGACCATCATCGCTCACCGTCCACTCATCCCTCCTTCCTGCTACTCAGCTACATGCATGTACGATGCCGAGTGAACCCGTAGATGTCCACGAAGGGTATCGCCTGCGGCGGCCAGGCGTACCCGCACTGCTCGGCCTCCACCAGCGCGCCGTCGAAGTTGGTCAGGGCGGCCTGCGAGTCAGCAGCAGGAGGTGCACCGTCGGTCGCAGCCGACGGCGACGCAGTCGCACTGGTCGCTGGAGAGGGCGCATGAGCCTCTGGGAGCGTGTACTTGGTCAAGATGGTCTCGCGGAGCGAGTCGTGCGAGGTGGCGCCGGCGTACGCGCCCGTCACAAACGCAGTGTAGGCTGGCACCCACTGGTCGAACTTCAGGCGACGATCCACGTCGCGCAAGTGGGTACTAGCATCCCTGGCGGCCGATGTCAACTTCGCCAAGTCGAGGCGGCAGTGAGACCCGGAGAGGTTCACGAAATCATCGCTAGTGGAAAGGATGTCGCTGATGGCCAGGTGCGCGTAGACAGGCCTCAGGCGCATGAAGTCGATGAGCTCCGACACGTTCTTGAAGTACTTCAGCATGCAGGCAGGCATCTGGGCCGTTAACTGCACGTACTGGCATGTCAGCTGGCACATCTCCATCATGGAGGAGTCGAACACATCCGATAGCTTATCGTACACCAGTGAGAGAAGATGCTGCAGGAAGGTAGCCAATACAACCTCCGCGTCGCCACTGCCAGATGCGGCCTCGGCCAGCGAACGACCAATCTCGCCGTTGTTGGCTCCAAGGTGGTCGGCCAGCGCATCGATGATACCGCGGCAGGAAGGATGGCGCTTCGGCTGCGTGGTCTTAATCTTGTTGGTAGAGGTGAAATCACTGAGCCGCTCGCCACACTCGGACCCCGCAGCAGTCTGCAGCGCGTCCAGGAGCCTCGACTGCTCTGTCGGTCGGATGGCGGGCGCGCTGGCAGCAGGCGTGGCGTTCTCGAGGCTGGCCGCGATGATATCGGGAACGGTCATCTCGACTCTGTCGATGTCGCCATCAGCACCGATAGCACCGACGCGGCTCATGGCTGTAGCAGCTGCAAGGTCACGAAGCTTTGGACGCAGATCTGACCACTTCTCGTACGTGACGTTTCCCAGGCGCACCTTGGTCTCGAAGCAAAACTCAAGGGCTGGGCCGAGCAACTGCATGATAATCGCGTGTTCATCGCTCGGGTCGAGCTGACAGTCGGCCATTGCTGACCGAATAGCATGAAGGGCGTCCAGCAGCCACACCTGGTGTTGCTCAAAGTTGGCACCGGTGAAATCCTCCTTCGGCGCGCCCTTCGAGGAGCTCTTCCCCGCTCCCGAGCGGCCTGAGGTCCTGGCATTGGGATCAGATGGTGCTGTCGGCGGCCGCGCAGCCTTCTCCTTCAGTTTCCGCGCAGCCTCGATGCCGCGCTTGACGACAATGCTGTCCGACATCGCCTGAACCAACCATTTGCACTTGTCCTGCTGGATGCGGTCGAAGACCATGGGCGGCGCGCGTCCGCCAGCAGCGGGCATCTTCACAGGAACGCACATCGGGAGGACGCTGAACCATACGAGCTTCAAGATGTCGAGATCGACGACCGAGCGGACTGTGTCATGGAATATTGACACAGCGATCTGGTGCAGGGTGAAGCACGCAACAGTATTGTCCATGCGCTTGTCGCGGAAGAGGCAATTGGCACCGAGATAATTGCGTGTCTCCTCGGTTATCTTGAACCGCTTCATCAAGTTAACGAGTGCCTGGGGAACCGTAATCGCACATGCGATGGGGCCCGACGATGGGGGGATACAATGCAGACCTCAGGGCGCTTGGGCTGCGACTCACTCGGCCCAACAAGGGCCATGGCGGATCGCCGAACCATCCAAGACAACCCCCACGCGGAACCTCAGATACGGACGACGTGTCGGATGACATCTCCTGGGCTCCGGGCTCCTGGACTCCTGGACTCCTGGACTTATCGTGCCAGACTGGCGTCTGCGACGTGCGTCACACGGTGGGGTGCGGCGGATAAGCGAAGCTGAATTTGAACAAGTGGACCGTCGCAGATTGCATCTCGTTGCCGCTCTTGATACGCCTGTCCTTCTCGGGGTACGTGGCACACACCCAGTCCCACGTGGAGGCGTAGGTCTCCCCGCTGCTGGTGCGCCCGGTCTTGTGGCCCGCCATGTACTCCCTGGTGAGGTCGAAGTACTGCAGCAACGTGAAAGCGGATCCACCGTGCCACGCGCTGTGGAAGTTCAGCAAAAACATTATCACATCTTTCGGCGTACGATGATCCAAGACTGTCATGTTGCGAAGCCCCTGCTTAAGTGTGTATCGTACCATCTTGTTGTTGGGATCCTCTTCAGAGGCCTTGTACACAGCGCGACTCAATGTACCGTACGTGATCATTAAATACGGTCCGACACCTCCTGGCGAGAACACCGCCCACGGATCACCGCGGATACCCGAGACATTACCATGCTCCTTGATGGACTCAGTGTATTCCTCGAGGACGGTGTCCTGCTTCCTCTCGTTGAGCGGGTGGGGCACCATGGACTTCTGGCCGCTCTCGGTGAAGAACTTGACCGTGATGTTGCGATGGCCCGACGCAGCATACATGTCCATCAGCCGATCGACCAGCTTGGCCCCCGCGAGGCCAGGGCACCGCTCGTGGACGGACGAGCACGGCTGGCACTTGGCATCAGTGTCGCCCTCGCCGCCGGCGCTCGAAGAATCTGAGCCGGTGTCGTTAGACTTCTCGTCGTCGGAATCGAAACGAAAGTCATCATCATCATGCTTCGACGTCTGCGGCTTCGCAAGCTTCGCCTTCTTGCTCTTGCTCGCAACGGCAGCAGAGGCAGAGGAAGTGCCGTCTTCGCCGCCTTCTCCTGCTTGCGAGCCTCGCGGCCTGCCTTGCCTGTGCTCTTCTTCTGGTCGGCTAGGTCACTCCGACCGAAGCAGCCACCTTCGGGATATCTGCGAGGATCCTGAGCCTGATCCCGATCCCGACGCGCACGCTTGGCGGGCGGATGCGCAGCAGTGCCAGCACCAGATGACCCGGAGCCGGAGGAGCGGACCGCCTTCGGCATGGGCTTGGGCACGGCTCGCGAGGCTCGCGAGGCGTTGGAGGCTGCGGACTCATCAGCAGAGGACGCCGAGTCTGACATCGCCATGGCGGGGTCAGTGGTGAAGTTAGCACGAGCTGGGCTGAGCAGAAGTGATGTCGCGCAGGCGCAGCACAGCACCTGTGCTAGCGCGTCCGAGCAGAAAATGGCTGTCGACGACACCGACGACACACGATCAGTTGGCCACGCGATACATGCGCGGCGGCAGTGTTCCCACAGAAACACGAGGGATGCGGGAGGTCTGTCGGATGTCCTCACAGGGCTGTACGAGATCTTCGGTCGCGGGCCCGCAATACATCACCTCTCATGTCCTCCCACATCCCGCCTACACTACACCAGCCCGCATCATCAGTCCTCTATCCTCCATATCAGGTCTGAAGACGGTACCCTGAGTTTCCCTCCCCGCTAGAAAACAACACGCATACATGCAAGACAGTTTGGAGTCCTCTTGTGTTTGTGCACTACGTTTGTTGTTGGGATGTTGAGGGCAGTCTGGCAGTCGCGGGTCAATCTTGGACCCGGCCATGGGCCCCGGCGCGACCGCGTAAACGACGCGAGCGGGCACGAAGGCTCTGAGCGGCGGCCCCTGGAGACATAGAGAACCTCAAAGGGTGTGAGGGGGTAACGCGCCACAGTCAAACTCAACTCAGAAAGGCCTCTGGAGGTGATCAACTTAAGTCGATCGTGAGAATGTGGATCATGGGTCCCAGCACAGGGAGCTTCACCAGGGTAGGGAAGGGAGCGGGGTGACAGCATATTGGAACACGAAGCGAGTACTGTACTGTCTAGACATTTAGCAAGCCGTACTCCTCAGCATCGTCGACCCTCCTCCTCCTCCAGAAACTCAGAAACACATCCTCAGTCTCCTCCTCATCGTCCTTCCTCGGCCACCGCCTCATCATCTTACTCATCCCCAGTCTCATCATCTCCTCGACCGCCGTCGCCGCCGTCGTCGTCGCAGCCGCCGTGCCGTCGACGCGCCAGCGGCCGCCCAATCGCGCGGGGCAAGGAGCTGGGCTGGCCTAGATGCAGCGTGCAACGCGCGACCGCGCCCGCTCCCGGCGCGGACAGGTCGGCGATGCCGCAGACGTCCCAGCCGACGTCCTGGCGGCAGGCCCCCCCCCCGCCGCCGCTCGAGGGCGCCCCGCCCGCGCGAGGACAGCAACGAGGATGGAGCAGGAGGAGGAGGTGGTGGGAGATGATGGCGACAAAGGTCGGGCGGAGGGGGGGGAAGGGGGGGGGGGGGAGGAGGTTGGATGAGGAGGAGGGGAGGGGGGGGGAAGAGGAGGAGGAGGAGGAGGATGAGGAGTTCAAGAGGGAGTTGGGGAGGAGGAAACCCACGCGAGTTTAG